CAAAAATTGGCAGGGAGGGTTGGTCTGTTTGGGTTCCAGGTTCGGCTGCGCAAAACCGCAACGAGGAGTGCTATTTACTGACTGCGCAACACAGAAGGTCATACAACCAGGCTCCGCACTCACTCCAACCCGTTCCCTGGAAATGGGACAGAAAACCAAAGGGCATTATGGACTGACAGCGGGCCTGTTCAATGGCCTCGTATAGGAGGAGGCAACACGCGCAGACGTCTCTCTGTTGAATGGAGAGTGCAGCCATTAACGCAGTTTGGTTAGTTTGGACCGCTTTTCGACATTGTACATTCCGGGCTTGAAGAAAAAAGCGCCGAAAACTTTTAGCTTCTGTTTGAATGAGAACTAGACATTTTCGTTTTCAAAGCCTATGTTCAATAACTGAGGTGACTAGTAAAAATTGTCCTAATGCTTCCTAATTATAAGCTAATTGTTCCCGCGCAAATGGCATCTGTCAAAGACAGGTCCGATATCGTGTGTATTAAGTGCTCTGGTATAAGGCAAATTTTCTCATTCTTTAAGCGCAGTTAGTAATGTTTGCCTATGCTTACTACTGCGCTTTTGATTAGAGTAGTGACTGATTTTTTGGTCACCGCCATTATCCAAATTATGAGATTGAAAAATTTTTTGTAACGTTCATTCTGAAGCTGGTTTGGTCGAAGTTTTTGAATTCTTTTATATCACAGGACAGATTGTGGGGTAGTTATCTCTAAAAAGCGTGGCCTTTATAAATATATTTATCCCTCAAGGTAATCAATATAAATTCAAGTGCATCCATTATTGATTTCGAGTGATGCTTGTCCAATGCAGAAATTATCCGTCAAATTGTTAGGGCATTATGCGGTGATTCTTCACAGTCAACGAAATATTAGAGTATCACTTTCGCCGATTTTTGGCTTTTTTGCAAGGGAAAGCTTTCATCAATTTGCAAAAAAGTCCCCCCCCCCCTCAAACGGGAATCCTGGGACCGCCACTGATGCAGAGATATCAATTATTGTCAATTAAAGTTAAGACGAATTTGATTAACTTTTTACAAAGATGAGATTCTCACAAAAATCAAGAATTTTGATCAGAGGCAAAAAGATTGCTGTTGTACGAATGCAATTATGAAGAATGTTGCGAGCCACAGTCAAGTAAAAAAATGTTTTTCAGTGAAAGGAGGAGGCGGAGGTAGGTCTATTTGATAAGACATATTATCAATAACAAAGCTGGGTTCAACATTCGGTGCTCCTAGTCATCAACAATCTTGAAGATAAAATGAGCAGGCAAATACGAATGAAGACGGTTGTACGATCCCACCTAGGCCACGTCCACACTGAAACAGAAGAATCGCTGTTAAATTCGTTTAGTAATCTATTTAAAAGAATCTGATTTTTGGTCATCGCGGCCTTTTTTATCGTCACTTCTTGAAAATTTTTTAGGTAGGCTCGTTAGATAGTTCAAAAATGCAGTTTGAATTCAATTTACAATCCCTGCTCTATTAAAAATTGACCAGCACAACTACTTGAGTAAATTGCTGCCAAGCATCCTATATCAATTTCAAATGATCGATTCCATATAACTTTCTAAATTCTGTTCATTTTGGGTCCGACGGGCGCTATCCCATGTCTGTTTCGCAAGAAGTATAAGCACCGTATCTCTTGAAAAGACGCCGATTGTTAACATACAAATCACTTTTAGTATGGAATGGCATTCATACTAAAGTTTTTCAGGCTAGACCCCATTGACTAGGCTTTTGCTAATCTAGTATGAATGCATAGGTGCAGCACGAAGGTATTTCACTGATCTCATATTTATGTGACTTTGAAGTTTGCTTATTCCTCTTGTAATCTAATATTCTCTCTTTCAAAAAAAAAATCTGTCACCTTCCTACTTGATAATAGAATTTGGAAAATCTGCCATTTGTAACTTCAACATCGTTCATTTTTCAGCCAATTTGGTTTATTCAGCCAATCAAAACTTAATCCTTTGTAAGAAGGAAATCTCCTAATTTCAACGTTAAGATGAGAAAATTGCACCACTTCGCAAAATTTACAATGAGTACAAATAAGCAAACAATTATGATGTGAGACAGATTAAGAGGTACCAAATGCTCAAGCGCAGGTCAGAACCAGGGTTCGGCACGAGGCGGCTAGTTGAGAATGCAAAAAACGAAGCCCCCTTGATTTTTGCGAATTTTTATCAAGTCCCCTTTGATCCTGTACCATAATCCCAAAAAAATCTAAAAAACGAAACGTCGACTAAAATAAAGTCGTTGCAAATTTCGTCTCTTTTCGGCCACCAAAACGAAAACCCCTTTGCTTTTCGTCCCAAAAACGATATCCAGCTTGCTTGTAAGCCAAATATGCCGAGTCCTGATCAGAGCAGAAATAGGACTTGGAACGCTAATAAAAAATCCGTGAAGTATCAATAATTCATAGCTTGTTTCGAACAGTCCACGCACGATTCTGCAGTATCAATTCATGCCAATATGTATAAATTGTCTGAAGATACAACAATATTCAATAATGTGACCGATATATAGATGAATTGGCCACTTCGGCACACCAGGAAAAATGGCCTCAACACCTCGGTTTAGTCGCTTCAGTTCTGTCGACGTGTCGCTAAATCTTTATCCAAATACGAATGCTGCGCTCTAAAATGGAAAAGGAAAAAGCAACAGTAGAAAACAACGGGTTTTCAAGCGTTTCCGAAGTACAAAGTTTACTCGGGCAGTTTTTTATGTGCCTTGCTGCTGACGTACTTTCCATCTCTGCACGTTCCGTACTTTCCATCTCTGCACGTTCTCTGCTTAAAGGTAAAAATCATACGATTACAATACCTGAAAGAAATCCTAGCAAGCAAACATAGCAGGGATAGAAGCTGTGACAGATAACGAAATCTTGGTTGTGCCGTGTAGAGATGGCAAAAATTTTGAACCTTTAAAAATACGAGCAGCTGTTATGGTGAGTGTTATAGCATCAAGACATCCTTTTTCCCAGCAAACGTTGCGCTCCCTTTCATAGCTCGGAATGATGGGGGAAGGAGGAGGAGTGGAAGAGCCGCCCTCCCCGGGGGGGGGGGCTCTTCCACTTCTCCTCCTCCGAGAAAAATGAATCGCGAATTTGTTATAGAAATGCCTTATTTCGTTCCCGCGAAAATTTTAGGAAGCATATCTTTTCAAGAGTGGATAGTAACGCCACGCACCTTCATCAGAAAAACCCCCCGAACGGAAACACCTTGGGTACGCCACTGAGGTGTACAGCGCATTTGAAAAATCGTGACGATCGTGCAACCGCGCACGACATGCACGCACCTCCCGGCAACCGCTTTTTTTTTGTTCCAACCCCTACTCGAAGGGTTTTTCTGCTTAGATACGACAGCATTCAGACATTGGAAGTGACTGCGCTTAGATGAGGTCATGCCTTTTTGTATAATGTTTTCTGCTCCTGTGGGCGCAAAGACCGCAGTCAAACCCGTCGTTACGATTTTATAAACCGCCTATGCATGAAACAGTTACAATCGTACAGCCTCCGATAAATGAAGGAAGGGCATCCTCGTGACCATCATTCCGAGCTATGAAAGGGAGCGCAACGTTTGCTGGGAAAAAGGATGTCTTGATCTATAACACTCACCATAACAGCTGCTCTGATTTTTAAAGGTTCAAAATTTTTGCCATCTCTACTCGCACATCCAAGATTCGTTACCTCTCACAGCTTCTATCCCTGCTATGTTTGCTTGCTAGGATTTCTTTCAGGTATTGTAAATCGTATGATTTTTTCCTTTAAGCAGATTGTAAACTCAGAAGATTCTTTGCGAACTTAGAAAGCAACAATTTTATGGTGCGAACTATTTTTTGAGCCTGCCAAATACATATTGGGGTATTTTACGAAATAAGACCCCTTGCACAGTTTTTGAAACCTTTCTGCTTGATCATGTTGAAAAAACTTGAAAGTGCAGGTCCTTGAGAGTGTGGCTCGGCAATTCCTCTACTCAAAATATTTTGCTTACCTGGGGTGATCGACGCGGTAATTCTGGAAATTTATTTTAAAGAGCACCAAAATAGCGAAAACCAACATTTTCCAAGTCCATTCATTTTAAACTTGGAAATGACAGCATGCTGCGCGCTCGGACTTGCTCTGTTTTCGTATATGGGGTGTAAGCAATCCATGATAAAATATCAGTTTTCCGAGATGTTCATTGTTCGCGAGCCAGTGCCTTCAAAACGTCGAGTTCATGGAGAAATTGAGCTGATCAAGTTGCCCAAGTGAACCTTGACTTTGTTAGCTCTGTGTTAACTTACATTCTACGCTAACAATATGATCATTTTATAGGCGCAATGGTAGCGTCCGCTGCACTCCAAAACAAGGTAATTCACTTGGAATTGCAGCAAGTAATGAAAGCCCTCTTTAGGAAACTTCGACGACAAATAGGCAAGTTTTGAATTCTTGCCTTAATGTCTGAACTCTCAGATTTGCAAGTTTCAGAAGCGGTATTGTTTCGCATATACTAATAGCAAGTGTATTCGTGACAGCATTGGTAGTTATTATTGGATTACATGTCATATTGATAGTTCGAAGGAGACGCGGCGTCGCGCGTCATTTAGAAAAGCCCTCAAGAAGACTAGTAGGCTATCCTGTGAAAAGCGTGGTACAGGATGAAACTGCCGCTTTCGAATTTGGATCACTTGTGGAAAGGCTTGGTATTCCCAAAGAGGTTGCAACTCCATCCTAATTTACAAAATGAGAAGAATCTCAATAATTGAAGTTTTCGCATCACATATCTTGTCTAGTCATGTATGCAAATAAAGTTGCTTATGTTTTTTTTGCTGAAAACTCCGAATAGATCTAGGCGAGCTTTTTGTTCGATTCTTGTACCTAATAACAATAAGCAACAATGGTGTTATTACATATCTTCTCCTAATCAAATTTCTCCATTAATGCAGCTTCACAAGAATGTCCCATCATGAGCTCTGATTTTGTGTAGCCTTCTAATGTAATCATTGCGACTAACAAACTTTTATTAGCTATGGTCCACGCAATAGCATCTGAATAATATCGAGTTTCGATCTTTCATTTGGCATTTTCACTGAAATTTTCCTTCATCATTTTTTTGGTATTGGACATATTGATGACATATTTGAGCTTCTAGGTACTTAAAAAGAGCTCATGCGACTAATGTGAGTTTTGTTCTTAATAGACTCAAATGGAGCAATCTTCATTTCTGTGTCACTACCTGTTAAATGAGCACCGAGCTGATCAATGAGTTTCCCGAGCCGCCCTTTACCACCTAAATAATGCTTGGTTTTTTTGTTATAGGCATATCTTACTCACCTGCGAGTAATGCTGCTCCACTATCGGATCGTTTTGCATCACTACCTTTTTGTAACTCATTATCGGGCTGCTTATTACATTTAATCCGCCAAGATGTAAGCCCGTATCAATATTGAGATGGCTCAAGCCAAGGTCTCCGCCAATACCCTGTCAAAATTGCGGATTAATTGTTATCATGTCGAGATTACAAAGTAAAATTTTCAAAATCTTCAGACATTACCAGTGAGGACATCAATCATACGCAGTAATCATAGTTGTTATCAACGCCTTTATACTTGACAGTGTGGTTGTTTTTTGAGTCAAAGAAAATGAAATAAAGAGCGATTGTAAAGAGGTGGAATCTACCCTACATGTTGTCAAATAGCGCGCATGATGTGCAGTACGCATAAGTTAGAGATTTGAACATAGGTTGTACGATACTGTCTTTTAGAGCAAAGAAAGCTCCACCTACAAAATGATAAACAAATATTTGCATCAATTTTGATAAAAACAAAGGTCGAAAAAACAACAAAAACCAAACCCAACTGCCCGAAAATCGAAGAAAAAGAACTTTGTTTGGAAAAATTCTGCAAACCTGCAACTTGCTCACAAGATATACTCTGCATTAGACATTCTTTTGTACATTCATCTTCGCTGGAATACCAAAGGGAAATTCTTTACTACTGCCAAAGCGATGGCGAGTTACACACACACACTAACTATAGGTTGTACTACACAAGCCTCTATTAGCTCAAACGTACATTTTGAGCCCTCCACAACAACCAGTTTTTATATCAATTCAAATAAATGCAGCAGTTGTATATATGAATGTCTGATGAGAAATGTGCATGCATAAGTTAGAATTTTTGTAGGATTTTCGTAAAAAGAGTTGAGATTTTTCTAATTTTTCGGGCGATTGAATCTTGAATGACTTCATAGGTCGAAATTTTCGCGTACGTTTAAACTCGTGGAGCTTGCTTTGCTTATCGAAGGTTCATTAACATCTACACTACAGGAAATGTGCCTTATTGCGCTTTGACCTGTTTTGGTGCAAGAATTATGTTACCACCTTTACCTCTTACAAGTGCGGCATTTGCAGCGTAAATTGCAGCATCCTCTTCAGCATGTCTTTAGCTTTTCGAAATCTTATAATGACATAGAAAGTTAAATGATGGATGATACATACTTTGAGATACTGCGGAAAGACAATTATCAAAGATGAGGCCAGGTCTTTTTTATTTTACGTTTATCACAAAGTGAAGGGCTGAATGATAGCTTTCTCTTTTCGAGAATAACATTTTGTATTTTTAGCTCATGGGTATTTCTGCTTACGTATGATAGTATTCAGACACTGTAAGTGACTGACATGAGCTGAGCGTTGAGGTGATGCCTTTGTGTAATTTATGCTTCTGTGGGCGCAAGGACCGCAATCAAATCCGTCTTTACGATTTCATAAATCTATATATATATAAAACTCAAAATTTGTAAGTGTGTTCGTTTATTCATTCGTTATAGAAACGCCCGCTAATGAGTTGATTGAGCTGGAACTTTGCACACACATGTATTCGACTCCGGAAGTGGTTAGTGCCACTTTTGCGGCGTTTCGCTGGACCATTCTATTAATTTATTGATTTTTGGCATAAGAATGAGTTCTCGACATCGGCTAACAAATCATTTCCATGATTTCGTGTAAACAATAGCAGTAGTTTACTCTATTTTCGCGGTAGGGAGGATGCGGTGATTCAAGACGAGCCTGCAGCGGGTGAATTACTTTGATACAGAAAACCCTTGCAGTGCAGCATAATGGCTAGGTGGGAAGGGGAGACGCGGTGAAGGGGGGGGGGGGATGGGCTGGAGCAAGCATCAGCTGAAGGATCCGGGCTAGACCGGAAAAATCAGCTAGTGACCTATACAATACTTCAAGCATTTGATATGCGATAGCAGGGGTGGTTCATTTTCAACCGAGGGTCAGTCGCTTCAGGCAACTTTGGAATGATGTGAGAAACAAGCTACATATTAGGGCGTAACTTTGGCACTTCTCGTGATGACCAGTGCGAGCCTCCTCGAAGGAGAGGCTATAGCGCTGGTCTATATTAACGCAAAAGGGCGACATTCCTTGTTAATTTGGCTATGTTTTTTAATCTTTGATCGTTCGAAGCACCTAGTGTGGCCATTGAAAGTTTGATATGAAGAGTACATCTGAGAGCAAGTTAGATTTTTTGAAGTTTTTCGGGATGTTCCGATTTTTGAGTGCGCAAAACTTTAAATTTTGTCTTCATACTGCACGAGGCAGACTTACGATTATGATGTGAACGCCGACTTGTAGATCTTGCTTTAATCATCTATCAGTTTCTCACATTTTTCATCAACCCTGCGGCGTTAGCGCGAGAGACATGCACTACAACTTAGTATACCCACTATGCTACTATGCCTCAACTGAAAAGCGTTTAAGACATTAACAAAGGGAAAAGTAGCTCTTTGGAATGTCAACTTGTAATCCGTGCGAATATGTCAAAAGTTAACAGCATCTAACTACCCTAAAAGATCTTCTGAAAAAACTCACACTTGATCATCATGTTCTAAACAAGAAACAAGCTACTTGTTAAATTGTTCTCGCGCTTACAAAACGAGGAAAGAGGATGCTCACATTGTTGTTCGGCGTCGGGAGAGCACCAGTTTTGCAGAGGTCAATGCATGGTCGTCTCGGCATATGACTTGCGGTCACTGTCGAGACTTCTTTACGGTGTGATGACTTTGGAGAGATTAAAAGGGCAATGACAAGGTTTCAATACTTACGACTTGTTATCCTACTGAAAGAAACGATTATTGCATTTCCTGCTTTTAGCACTGAAAGTCAACTCGCTGCAGCAAATAGCATAGCTTGTTTGAGGAGTTTTCAAGTCGTAATCAACTCGAATGAGAGTCACATAATCCGCTGAGTCCTCTATGAATGATGTAGAGGCGCTCTCATGAAGTTTGCGAGATCGCTGATATTGATGAACAAGCTCAACCTGACCATAATTGTCACGGTTTTACACCATGAAACTCACTACTGGGGAGGGCGTGCAGGAGTTCCTAGCACCTTTCCTCGCACCGAGTTCGCACCATCAATCGCACCCAGGAGGGTTCTAGCAGCTCCGCATCTCCGAGGTCAGGGACCGCCCATTGCTCCACCCATTAACTTCCCTCATTGTGAGGAGAGCAAGTAGAGAGAACAGAGAATCAGAAAGAAGTGTTGAGAAAGAAAAAATTGGAAAAAAGAAGTATTATCGTGTCATTTCATAGTTGAACTAATGGAAATAACTATGAGTATGTGATTTTCACTGATTACAAACTTCAGTAATAAGTACGCTTTATTTAAGTTAGTATCAAAACCTTAGTATGAATGCAACGCCCAGTTTTTTTGTCAGTTGCCTAGCAGTTCAGATATAAAAAACATTATCTCTAGAAATAAATGAATGCTGCCACTCGGATCGTTCGATTTGAATATTTGATTGTTTGGAATGAAAAATCGGCTGCTCAGATATCTTATGTCGTTCCGAAAGTTCTTTCCGTTTTTTCAAGCTGCCCTAAAAACACGTGAAATAAAGATGGACAAACTCTCCAAAGACAGTTTAGTACAGTTTTTCTTCCCCTTTTTAACAGTCATGCTCACAAATCATTTGCTTTTGTGGTCATTAATATAACCCCAGAATTCCAAAAGTACGGTTTTTTCCATACCAAAGTTTGGCATTTTCCTAAAATTTTCGGTCTCAACCTTTGGAAGAGCTGTAATAACAGGTGGATAGAGCAAACAAAGTGCAATGCAATAAATTCCAGATGCTGGCTTAGGGCATTCAGCGTTCGACTTCCCAAATGACTGTACTTATCGAAGGCTAGAAATCTACTTTTCGTAGATCCGACATTAAAAAGAAAATTATTTTGTAAAAAGTTTCCGGTTTCTTTCATTTTAATATGTGTTATATCTGTTCATATGCTTGGATGTTTGTACTTGGACGCTTGCTAGACATGTTCTCTTGTTCCGATATTTGGGCGCTTGTCCCAAAGTAAATCATCTATAGCATAGCATAACAAAAGATTTCTAAAGGAGCAGGTAAAGGTGGCGAAGAAAGTGTTGCTTTACTTTTCTTCAAGACATAACTAACAGTGGTAACCAAGATTTTGTGAATTTATCCGCACTCGCTCGCTAATGTTTGAAAGAAAATTGAATTCAATCAACGAAATCTCTTGAATCAGCTTGATTTGATTGATCCTCACTTTTTATAAATTAAAGATTCCACCGCGCTTGCACAATCTAGAATGAGCGCACCTAGAAGGCGGAGAGAAAGGCGGAGCCGTTCCTCGACCTGTGATGACCTGTGATGTCCCCTCCAGGTTTCTTTGAAGGTGCTAATCACTCCTGCAAGGAAAGTCGGCGAGGCTTTGGGAACTCCTGCCACGCCGCCCACTACTGGAAAAGCTTGAAAATCTACCGGTCAGTATGTCGGCTGTACAAGTATTGTACACTTCAGAAGTCAAAAAAACCTTTGCATTTAGGATTCTGGTTTCAGCTGTCTCCTCAGAAAATTGATGGAGCAGCTCCGCACAATCATAGCCAAGCCAAACTATCAGGTTGAGCGGGAGGCAGCCCAAAATAGCTTTTGAGCCGTCTTTTGGCCTCCAAACTTAGCTTAAAAGCTTGAAAACTGAAATTTGGCTTGGATCAGAAAAGGAAATGGTAAGATTTAGGGATAGGTCAATCTATTTCTCACACCGATATTCCAAAGGAAGTATTCTAAATGTAAAGCCGCTGCAGCTCTACGAAAAAAAAAACTTGAAATTCTTTAGAATTGCATCGTCGTGTACGATGTAGATATTAGGTTGATTCATAATTAATGCACGTTTTTCTCATCTCTTCTTCCAAGAGCTGGTATTTCATGTGTAATAAGTTCTCAAAAACTTTTTATGCTATCTGAAAAAGCGTTTCTTCTAGTTTCTTATGGCCCTTCGCTTTCGTACATCTCGTTCATTCCAAAGTTCTGAGCCTTCAAATAAAAGAGACTAAATCCCAAAATTTTCGCCTATCACTCTTTTTACCCTAAATCCATAAGAAATAGCCGTAATTATAAAAAATATGCATAAGGATTAGGAAACTTTGTGCTACAAGATGCTTTTGAACAAAATTCTCCATGAATTCTGAGCCGAGAAATTCAATTGCGAACTTGAATGATCGTTGCGGCCCTTACGTGCCATATAAAACTTTGAAGGAAATAATTTTGAAAATGACCGTTGAACCCGCCGAGATGCCAGAAAAAAAAGTGAGTACTTCCGACTTTTTCGCTATATTTTCTTTCAAAAATTTCTTGTGAAATCCAAGCTTGGCATTACTTTTCAAGGGACCCTACACGATGAGCGAAGTTTGCTTTATCCTACTTCATTTCAACATCAGTTATGCTCTCTCAATTTAAAGGCTTTTGAAAAAAGCTGTTGGCAATCTTCAGGCCAGAAACTCTTTTTGTGATAGATACAGTCACGCAAAAGTACCTGTTTTATAGTCACTGATTTGAAGGTTACAGTAGTTTTTATTACGCCCAGAAATGTTTTTTTGGAAATGAATTATCTTGGTTCAAAGTTGAAGTATTGAAAATGTGCATTAATTATAAATCAACCTAATAGTTAGTCCAGTATCTCTTGAACATTAAAAATCAATTTAGTTTGTAGTTTTGAAGCCTGCTTACCTTATGAGAGATTAGAGCTTCTACGTCAATATCAACTATCGTGCAAAATTTATTAGAACTCCCTTCATCTCACTTATCGAAAGGGATGATAGGATTCCTTAGATTCCTTATTTCTTATTCGGAGTAAATAAAAGCTTGAAAATTGAGAGGTAAATAAATCAATCGTTTCTTTGAGAGAGACTGCCAATGCTACAAGCAAAAATACAGTAACCATCTCTCTTCGGACATTACGGGAGGTCATAGGTGTTGTAAATGCTTCAACTTTGGCACGCAGCTGTACAAAAAACTGAGGAGCTAAACAATGCGATAGAGGTTACAAAAGGAAGTGGTCTACAGCAGTGTACTCTTTCAGATCGGTTTTTGAATTTTTTCCAGTTTTTTTTTGTACGTCAACGAGACTGGAAGCCGACTTGAGAAATGTTGGTAACATTGAACATTGCAGAAGAATTTTAGACAGCATCATGAGCAAGAACGCAACAACGAAAGGAAGTGGAGTCTCTAGCTAGAGCGATTTTGAGATGGACTTGTGGTAGTGTCCAGATTGCATTCCCTCAGCTCCCTGTACATCTATTTTCTCAAAATAAGTGATACAGTAATGTTCTTGAGTTGATTGAATGTTGAGCTAATGTCCTTAGAATGCTTATCGACAGGCAAGTGCACCTGCGGCCGCATTCATGATTGATACCTTAAGGTAACTTCTACCTCCAGGTGGTTTTATCACTCATTATCAGCAAGTACCCGTATTCACAAAAGTACCTTGAGGTAAATTCTCATTGTGATTTTGCTGATAATGAGTGATAAAACTACCTGGAGGTAGAATTTACCTCAAGGTTTCAATGATGAATACGGCCACTGATAGAGTGCCAATTATTTTCAACAAAACAGTGTCTTTTAGTAAGTTCAACATCCTATCTTGGGTAGAATCATGTAAACTTACACCATAGCCGATCTTTACCACAGTGGAGCTTGGCTGCAAACTGTAGGTTTTCTTGATCACAGTTTCGCTTGGCTCCATTGCAAATGATGTATGTACCGTATGGGAGCTACTGGTTTTATAACTATGATGACTATGGTGACCACTATCGAACGTTATATGTTGAGTGATGAATCCTTCAGTCTGTAAGCTCATATTCTGTTCCCTTGTTAGTAAAAACATAAACTTACATAAAAAGCGAAACTCAGAAGAAGCAAGGTGGATAGGAGCACTTTCATTTTGTAAGCGTAAATCTCGCAGCCTCAGGGTATATGTAGACCAGCAACCATTAGCGATTGTCTCCCATGGTTGACGAAAGTTTTATGGAAAATTTACGGCGGTGGAAAAGTTATCATATGACATGCACTTTTAATGCTGAAAATTTGATAAAGAATTGCTTAACTTACAAGTGAGGGATCTTCGAATCAGAAAAAAAGGAGCTCTCTTGGCTTGGTATCCAAAGCGCTCGCAGATGATAAAAATAGGCTTGGAGTTTTCGTTGCTCTTCAAAATGGTATAGAATTCATGGGAAAGGCCAAATTGATGATTTTCCTTCGTGTGAAAAAGGACAGTTCAACTAATTTTTTTTTGCATTGTCGAAGAACCCAAGTTTTCAACGTATAACTTGCAAGAAAATTATCCGGAATCAACCCTTTTAGCAACTGCTGCTTGCAACTGCTGGATATGAATTAATGAAGACAAGACATAAAGCGATGGTCGCAAACTTTATGGGGGTGAAAATATTGCAGCGTTAGAAACAGTTTTTTTAAAATCAATTTCTGCAAGCGGGTATCGCTAACGGCCAGTTGATATTTGGTGACCGTGGCCTTCCGATATGCAACATATGTCAAGGTATATTCGCTTCAAAACTCTGATTTCAATACTATCATCGTTATCTGCGGAGTAATTACTTCAAAAACCATATCTCCTTGACTCTGACTTGTTTGCACATTAGTACGAGTAATGACGATACGGGCTAAGCGGTGCTAAAGGTGCTAATGGCCTAGCGGTTAGCGGTCGGTTATTGTCGATTGACGCCAGTTTTATCTCTGTCGGTGCATTATTTTTGCGTTCGCTTTCTTTTTTTCTTTTTTTCGTTATATGCTAAAGGCTTTTCTTTTCAGAAAAGCGTTCTATAACGAAATAGTTTCGGGATCAGCGTTTCAAGGAGAGTGTTTTGATGTGCAGCATATCTAAAAGGCCACGGTCACCAGTTATCCTTTCCTTGTAAGAGGGAAACATTTCGGCTTCTAAAAAAAGTCCAGTAATTTTGTATGTTGAGTAAGCAAAAAATGCTATCGATTGCGAATATTAATTGTGAAGCATCCTTAGTAGCTCAAGCAGGGTTGTATACAACAACTTTGCTTGAAGCTGCAGAATGTATGCTTTAACAAGCAGAAAGTTAAGTTTAACTCCGAAGAAAAAAAAGTACAGCAGAAATTGAGACGCTTATGCCACACCTAGGTGGCATCGTTGAAAAGAGGTAATCATGCCCTGTTAGTTTCGTTAAAAAGCTGATCCACTTCGATTCCTCAGCTTTCAAAGTTAAAATTTTCAAAAGACAAAAAAGACCAGTACCAAAGACACATTTTTGATACCAGCTCATTTTTTTTTGCAGAAAAAATGTTTTGCTTAGAACTCTTTGCTAATTATGGAAACTAGCCTTTGCACATTAGCACATTGACGACAATGCAGATTTTTAGTTGTCTGCATTTTGGGACCAAGCCTTTTTACGGATCAGCCCACGTTTTTTAATTATAATCACGCTTACTGCCATCTACAATACACCTATAGTAAATCTGAAGATCTGAAAAAAAGGTAGAGGTCATCCCTAGACTCAAAAAGAAAAGTTATGGAGTAAGCTTATTTTAGAGTAATAGTCATTTTAACAAAGTTCAAACCTTGACACACATGGTGTGTCAAGCGGTCCCACGCGGTAGTCATTGCTCGTCAATGTGTTAATATGAAACAAGAAAAGAATTGAATTGTCTCAAATGCTTAAGGTCGATCAGGGAGTTCCTTGAACAACACTTTTCTTGGGACGAAGAGGACGTCCTGCACTGAAATTTGTTGAACAAGAAAACAGTCAATCATACCGTATGAGACCTTCAGTTGAAAAGACCTAATTAATCTCTACTGCAGAAGCGACTCAAAAAAAAACAGGTCTGGTGAGTTTTTGTGCGTGACAGAATATGGCTCGGTACGGCAAATGTAGACAAGACTGTCGTGCAAAACTTAATAAGGAAATTCTTGATATTCGCTGTACCCTTCAGATCTCGCCTCACCAGTCCATATGAGCGCGTGTTCCGATTCTAAAGACAATCTTAGACGCTGGCTAGACGCCTTTCGGACCAGAAACTTTTGAGTTTCGAGAAAACGGTGTTGAAAAACTGACGGCAAGATGGCCGAAGGTTTTGCGCAGCTGCGAAAAATACATTATCTACTGAATTTTGTTGAAATTCTGTCATTTCATTGAGTTGTGAAGACGCTACAAACTTATAGAAAGACCTAATATTTTCTCGTAGAGATGAGTGCGAGCATGAACGGTATAGAGGTTGAGATCATGGATTTTATGTCCTGAATGCTGCGGAGTAGATGTTAAAACCTTTAGCCAAATTTACATGCATTAGATCTCCTGATAATGTTCCACAGTTTATTGAAAAAAAAAAGTTTGCAGTGGATGTCGATGTTCTATGTACACTATGCTAATGATTCAAAATATTGTTTGATTCTTTTCCTCACAATTAACGCTTGTCCTCACCTCGCAACCTAACTATTTTTAAATCATTAACATGGTGTCTGCATCGATTTTCAAAGCATGTGCATAAATAGATGAGCATTCTATTGCAAGATTGTTGTCTATCGCTTGTCTCCAAAAAGCACCCGATATACCTCTTCAGATCATGAGAAGTTTGATACAGGAAATTTTCTCCAAGCATGTGAATATCTTTTGCGTTATTGGAGTAGCAGAGAAAATTACAGTCGAGTATATTTTCCACTTGATATAGTGTGCTTGCACAGAAGGTGAAATGCGGTAAAATTTGCGCATGAGGAAATAGCTTCGACTGTGATGCCGGCCAATTGCGCGCGCAAAATGCTTGCAGTGCTGGCGCAGCTACCTGTTCACGCCCAAATTTTACCGCGTTTCATAAACTGTGCAAGCACACTATATTAAGCGGAAATTCTACTCGACTGTACAAGACATAATTAGGACTCAACAGACTAATTTTGAATGGACATGAATTGATTGCCGTGAACAATGAGTGTATACAAGCCCTATGCATACCTGCAGAATTCATGCGACGCGATTTTTGCAAACAACAATATCACTCATGTCTGACGAGTACAGTCGAGTAGATTTCCTGCTTAATATAGTGTCCCTGCAGACGCGACAACGCTGGGGCGTCAATAAATGCCTTGCGAGTTCCCGAGCTAGTGTTTTCCACTGTTTTCTCTGCTTATTTCATGCTTTTTAGTTGATTCGTTGCTGATAAAGAGGGAAAGGGTAGGTTAGAGTGTAGTTTCTGTTTTCTGAGAAGTTCTATTACCGCATATTCACAGATATCCACGTGGAAGCATTTCGCGTCAGCTTCTTGTCTATTTTTTTTGTCATTTCCTTTTCTTCTGTCACTTCTTCTTTCAAACCTCTTCCTTCTTGCGAGGCGTTTCTTTGAACGATAGTTGGCTTGTCTTGCAGCAACTTCGGCTTTCATCCACAAGAAATAGCATTTTAATCAAGTACTTCATGTGATAAAGACAACAGGTCAATCGTAAAACCCACTAGCGTTCAAAGGAGTACCTCACAAGAAGAAAGAGACATGAAGTGAAAAAATAGACAAGAAGCTGACCAGAACTGCTTCCATGTGGATATCTGTGAATATGCCATGATAGAACTTCTCAGAAAACAAAAACTACGCTCTAACTTACCCTTTTCCTCTTTATCAGCAACGAATCAACTAAAAAGCATGAAATAAGCAGAGAAAACACTGGAAAACACTAGCTCGGGAACTCGCAAGGCATTTATTGACGCCCCAGCGTTGTCGCGTCTGCAGGGACACTATAATAAGCAGGAAATCTCTCGACCGTAGCTTTTGACGCGATGGATCGATGACCGTTTTCTAAGCAATGCCGCTATCAGCCGATTTTAGCAATATGCGTAGTTGATGTGAACGGCGGGACTATAATGCTGAAATAGGATTCTTTGATCAAGAGCTGAAATAATTTCATGTCGTGTGCCTGTTTCCTCACAGAAATGTGCAAAAATCAATGAAAGTTATCTATTTGCATCTTTGGATGATATGGTGTGAAAAGAAGAAGAAGAAGAACAAATTCAAGTAGACAAAAATGTATTTTCCAACAACTCTAACACGATTCCCTTCGTGTGTGCCCATCGCAGTTGGTTGCGCGCAAATCAGAAGAAAAAGAAGCGATACAAATATTCAAGCAAAAAAGTTTTTGAAACGGGAGTTACACATATCCTATACAAGAAGATAAAGCATCAACAATTTTTCTACTGTCGTTGTAATTTGGGGGACGAGTGACGTAGTGGTATGAGGCGCCGCCATGACCAAATCGGACGCAGGTTCGATCCCGCCCCTGGGCCAAACAAGCCCTCTACCCTCCGGAGACGGTAAATTGATACCAGAGTAATCTGAGAGGATAAGCACTGACCTGGCAACCGGATGGCCTCCGCAAGTCATTGCAAAGGCTCGCACGCGTGCAACTGCCTCTTCGACCACGAAGTAGTGCGCGTTCGGCGCATGCCTCAGAGGGTACTGAAGACGCCAAATCTTTCATCTTTTATTATACGTTGTAAGTCCCGACTTTTTACTCCAGTTTAACAACAAATACCATACAACCGTAACTATACGTACATGTAGTTTATGAGTGCGCATAATGATCGAACTCATGGACTCCGAATGCGCAACCAGCAATTTAGCCGTCGCTTCCTTCCGTCAAAAGTCCCATCGACGAGATCGCACGGTTGCATCGCTGCAGGATACCACGGCTATAGGAGAAGCAGTAGTACAAGAATTTGTGAAGCATTAGTCAAATTCTTCGGGCTACATTTGCTACAAACAACCCATTTTCGTCATCTGTTCTTATGAACATGGGTAATTACGAGCAGTAAGGCCTAGTCATAATTTACTTGTTACTTCTGCTGCCTAGAAAAACTTCTCGCACACCCTTGATACGAGGTTTAAGGCTTTTTCAAGATGGGTAATCTTTCTCTTGTACATCCTGACTATCACGTTTTTCTCGAACACATCAATAGTCCAAATCTATTC